TAATAGATCAACAATATACTTTGCATGATGTTTCTCAACGTTTATAGGAAGAAATGATAAATAAGCTAAATTAACATTTTAAAGACATTGTGATCTTTGAAGTGCTATTTTTGGAAAACTCACTGTGCATTTCCTGGGAATCGAACCTTATTTTTCAGATCATGGCACTGATATGCTAACCTTAACACCACAAAACACAGAAAAGTATGTATCTAATTCCCTTATATATGTTTAATAAACATTTAAGTTTTCCTCCTTTTATAATTTTATCTTATTTGTTTTCACTGTGTAAATTTTATTTTATTTGTTTTCACTGTGTAAATTTTATCTTATTTGTTTTCACTGTGCAAATTTTATTTTATTTGTTTTCACTGTGTAAATTTTATCTTATTTGTTTTCACTGTGTATATTAGTGATCCTATGAAACAAAGTTTTGAATTTTTGCAAATTTTGCCTACCAAACATGTGTCGGTAATTTTTGTGTATCATATTTATATCAGTAAAAAAAATCTGGACAGTATTTTATTCCCTCTGTGAAACATTTTGTTACATTAACATTCAGTGTGAATGCTGTAAACTTTGCACTAGATATGTATGCCTTTATGATGTAAGGATATTAAGTTTTCTGGTCGTGGGCTATCTTGTGGCCTTAATTAAACACTTTCTAGATCGATTACTATATTTGTTCATGTATACCTCATAAAACGCATTTTGCTTTAGATATTTAAGAGTTTATAATGTAATACTAGGAAAAGAAATTTATCTGAGAAACACAGGAAGAAATACAATTTCTATTTATATTTAAAGTCTGCCTTTTCGTTAAGTATAATACTCTTTACAAATCCGTGTAATAATAAAATCAAACGCACTCGATATTTTGTGTATGGATGTAAGTCTTCAACTTTGAGCCAGTTGTCTTTCAGCAAATTATGAGGCTTGTAATATTCCCAGTCAGACGAATGAGAATATCGGTATTGCACCAGATAAGATATATTGAGATATGGACTTGCCGCCGTCCATTCGATTGTGATGGAGCTATTTGTCCGCGTCTCAGCCACTAAGTATGGCGCTGCGGGAGTCCCTATCTCTTCTGAAAAAAAAGAAAAGGGAGAAAGAGGAAAAAAAATTATTTTTTTATACATGAAACGGTTTACAAATGGCAGATGTAATGTATTATAATGTATGAAATGAAGCTTACCTTCCAAAGATTGAATATATAGGTTTATTGCTATGTTGCAACCTCTGACGCAATAAAGACTCTACAAAAAATGTCTTTAATATAATGAAATGTATTTCAAATACCATTATGCAGTTTCAATGTATGTGTAATTAAATATTTTACATCATAGAAGAAAGCAAAATTTACAATGAAAAATCATATCAAAAATGCAAAAGAATAAAAAAAATTTGATTATAAAAGAATGAGTCACTATTCGTATATAACCTTTCATGGATAAAAAAGAACATTACCGAAATGTTTATGGGGTTATAAATGAAGTCAATTGCTCGATATATTTCGTGAGAAAAACTTACACTCTACATCAGTAGCTTCTAGAAGAACGAGGATAGCTGGCTTTGAGAAAAAGAAGATTCTGGCTAAGGCTGCATAATAACTCATTACAGTTCTTATTACATCTTCTCCGTTTACTATTAAAATAAATCTATTCTGATTTTACTCAATTATACGCATTTAAAGGAAATTTCGCAGGGTTAGTTTTCCTAAAAGTTGAAATTTCGCGCTTACGTTATGTCCACAAATGCTTTCATTTTAATACTGCAAATCCTTTTTCGAGAAGTGTTGCTTTCATTTTATCCTTCTCGGCCGAAATCGGCAATCTATCTTTATGGGTCGATTGTACTTGGCATTAATGCCATAATTCTCCAATATGCTTCTCTCGAAATAGTAAATTTACCACAAACTGTATGGTCATCCTCCGTACAGGGCAATATTTTTAGGAACTCGCCTTTAAATTTTCCGAGAAATTTGGCAGTTGTATGAGCAAGTTGACTTATAAAAATCCTTAAACGAACATGCTCTAGGATTCACTTTAATTGGCAAGATGTCAAGGGCTTTTGCCTCAGGATTCTTTTGCACAGCCTGGCGTGTCTGAGGGCTTTCAACCGGACCATTTTGAAGATCATGAAATTTATTTTTAAGTATCTTTAAAATAAATCTATTTTTAATTGCTCTGAAGTTTTAGTAGTTTAAAAACTTCATCAACAATATTACCACTTCTAGCATCATTTTTCGCATTAAGTACTTTACGTTTAAGAATATTAGAATTGCTCCTGGTTATAGCTAAACCTGAATTATCAGACAAATTCATTTTTTCCCTCAAGATGTTAGCTTCCTTCCTCAAAGAGAGCAGCTGTTGTGCCAGACCATCAGTTATGGTGGTGCTTGTATCAGCGGCTGCCTGTCTTTTCCGAAACTGTTAACTGAGAGTTTAACTTTATCAATTTCAAAGTCTATTTCCAAAATAATACGTTGGTCGTTCAAAGCCAAGCCTCTTTCAGCAAGAATATTGCCAGCCGGGCTGGATTATCCTCTACGTACATCGGCATCGTTTACGTTTTATAGGCATTAAGGTCGAAAGTCCTTACTCAAGATCAATTGCAAAAAGGTTTGAAGATTTACTTTTGTGCTACATAGTTATATGTATTTTAGTTTATATTATTATTAATTAAACAATTTTATTTATTATCATTTCATTGCTACATATTTTCATCTGGGATTCTTCTTTCTCTGCCATACATTTTTACACATTAAAAACAACATTACTGGTCATCATAATAAATTGAAGTTATGTAAATATGGTCGCAATCCTAAAAACTGTGGGAACCACTCCATTAGAGCACTACTCGAGCAATATACGGGTACTTTAGCGCCATCTAGTAACGAATGTCCTAACTATTTTCTCTTTCTGATAAATGACGGGTCATTCTTTAAAAGTGTAATTTTTTAACTTTATTTAATTAAGATCATTAGAACTCACCATGAAAGCCCTCTAATTAAGGACACTTGAAAACTTTGTACGTAATGGATTAACACTACAGTGTTCTGTCTTTTATTAGCGAATGATCTTTCTTTTAAATTTGATACCTTCTGCCTTCTTTTCTGGTAACAAAATGTTTGTTAACACCTTTCATTTTGCATTAAGATTTATTGCAAAGATGAACTTTCAGAGAAAGATTATTAATTATTATTTTTCGAAAACATGACAACAGAAATTACAGTATTGCGAAATTTACACAAAAAACCATACCTTCCATATAAGGATTTTGTAATAGTTTCAAGAACTTCAGTAATAACAATTCTGTACTTTAAATGATAATTAAATTACAATAAATATTTTATAAATTTTTTAGATGATTGGTGAATAGCAAGAGTTAATTTTGATCAATACCAACATAAACACTTTCATACACTAAACAAAAGCGAAGCCGAAAAAATAACACAAAGTTGAACCAAGAACTCTTGACTCGGGTATTGTACAGTTAAATTCACATCATATCCCGAACCAAACAGTTTTCTGAAAACGTAACGGATTTAATCTAAATGCTATTTATATTATGCGTTAAACTATATTTTATCAATTCTACTCATAAAGAAAAAAAATTAATTTTAATAAAATTCTCTGTATGGGACCGGATTCTCCTTCCATAAATGCTTTTTATTCAGACTAGAACTGCGGAAATTTCTAAAACCTAGATTTAACAAAGTTCCTAATTCTTCGCATTTAGAAATGTGTAACTTTCCCGCAACACATGACACCATACCACTGGAAAAAGAAGCAGCATTCTTACTTGACGAAAAATCGAATAAAATAGCCTTTATGAAATCATTTAATAAATAAAAGAATCATTAGAGGAATAAATTTGAATTAAAATTGTATTCACAAGTAAATTTTACTTTTACTACTCTCTTATATTTCTTCTTAGATAAACAATAAATGTGAAAATTTCCGAATTCTAAAATCGAAAGATCTATTTATTTGACTACAATTCAAATTGAGTACAATTCTACAAAATTCAAACAGCCTCAGATTTTGCATAACAGATGGCGCTACGAGAAAAATGCAGCTGAGAAAAAACTGTAGCCATTAAATTACCTTTCATTAACTAAATGAATAAATGAATATTTCATTCGAAAATTGAAAGCAAACTAACTTCATATTAAATTTACCTTTAATAGACTGTGTATATCTCTTTTTAATTAAATTAGGAATGTGAAAATTTTCACTTCTTAAAATTGAAAGATCTTCCGCTTCTTGTTCTTAGAAACGTTTGTATATCGAGCAATAGATGGCACCACGGGAAAAAGTAGAAGGGTTCTTGCTTGAGAACAAGGAGGTTAGAAACGGAAGTTATCAAATAAACTTGTATTATCCAGTTAATGTGCACAAATTTTAATATAGGTACAAAATTAAACGAAATTAATATTCGTAGTTAAATTTTTCTTTCCTCTAGTTTATAGCTCTTTTTAATTAAATAAGAAATATTAACATTTCTAAATCCTAAATTAGAAAGATTTCTTGCTTCTTTGCGTTCAAAAATGCTTACTTCCCATAACAGGTGGCAGCAGGGAGAATGAGTAAAAGTATCTTTCGCTGAAAAAGATGGATCCAGCTAATAGTATTGTGACTCACAGAAACAAGATTTTCCAAGAAATGCTAATTAAAAAAAGGAATTATTCTTTTCATAGTCAGGTTCTTAGAAGTAAGAAGTTTCGACCATCTTTAATGGAGGGGAAACGATAGCTACTCTATTTCTATCTCACCCAATTTCATGTGTGAAAAAGTACGAATCAGAACTCCATAAACTATTCGGACGCTACACCCAAGGGACCACGTTATGGTCTCACGAAAGAGAGGAAGGAATAAACAGGATATTTTCATTAAATAAAACTACTGTGAGTGCACTGTAATAATATTTTTATTTGATATGGGGGAAAATGAAAAAGAAGGAAAATTATAATGCTGAGAAAATTTAAAAAAAAAAAAAAAAAAATTCAGAAAATGCAGCTGAAGAAAAATATATGATGGAAGCAAATTTAATTCTGGAAGGTTTAGAGGGCTACTTTGAAGCAAAATTAAATTTTTGAGCTTAAATTCAATTTTCTAAACTAAATTAATTTTTCGAATTATTAGTTTAAAATGAATGTGTTATACAATAATTTTTTAAACATCTTTTCCTAACAACTGCTATTCTTAGACTTTTATTTATTTTTCAAGAGAAATTCAGTAAAATCTATTTCAATTAATGAAAGGAAATCGCAAACATATAATTTTCAGTTATTTTAAAATACACTGAAGTGGCACTGAATTAGAGATAGCTAGTCAATCATGATTTAGGCCTCCTCTGGCCTTTATTATGGCTGCCAAACGACGAAGCATAGATTCAAAAAGTTTCTGGAAGCATTCTACGGGAATGGCTTGCCAAACATTGGATAGAACTGTCTGTAATTTAGGAAGAGTCGCTAGTGTTGTGTGATGAAGTTTCAAACCTTTCTCCAAAACATCCGAAAGATGTTCAGTAGAATTTAAGTCAGGGCTTTTAAGTAGCCAGTTTATGACAGAGAAGTTAGAAGGACGCTGATCCAACCAAGCAGTAGCCAACCGGGACCTGTGAGAGATATAGTTATCTTGCTGGGATACTCCATTTTCGTGTGAATGACAGGACTACATAAATGGATGGATATGATTGCTCAGCAACTCTACGCACCAAATCACATTGAGGGAGGTTGGTACAAGTACCAAAGATCCCAAACACTGCCAAGAGAAAACATCTCAGACCATGATTAAGCCACCATGGCTTTGTACAGTTCCAATCTGCGATACAGGGTTCATGGCTTCATGAGTCTGACGCCATATTCTCAGCTTCCCATCGGTATTAATCAGTCGGAATCGAGACTCATTACTCCTTGCTGACATGCATTCAGCAAAGGTACTCTCGTGGGTCTACGGCTTCGGAAGCCCATATGGCGAAGCAAGCGCTGCAAGGGTGGTAATTTGAGCTGATGCTTGGCTTCGTTGACTACTGAGCCGTCTCACACCACGCTTGTTCTAGGTTAACTGCCCTTTGCAATTTGCCCATGACTAGATCTTTTTTGCACCATCCGTGTATTCTCGGTATACTCTTGACACTGTCAACCTTAAAATACTAGCTCGCTGAGGATTTTGGAAATTGAATGGCCCATGCGTCGAGTGCCTACTATATGTCCGAGATTAAAGCTGTCTAAATCAGAAGTTCTACCCATACTGGCAATTGAAACAACTCCTTAACATCAACCATAGTTTTAGTTGTATGTGCATTTACCACAACTTTCTCAAGTGAGCACAGATGCCGCGCAGCGCTATAAAATTTGCATAGCCATGTCTATCCCTAATTCAGTGGCACTTCGGTGTATATTAAAATGTAAAGTTGTATGAAATATGTTTATCAGTATTATTATTATCATTAGTAGTACTAATTTTCTCTCTCCTTTAACTAAACTGCTATAATGTTTGCGTTGATAAGACTGTGGCTATGAACGAATATATTTTGAATTTAGAAGACTCGTAGAAAAACGTAGTCTAATCTTCAGAAATATTTACTGGGCTATTCATAGGGAACATCGTTCTCTATATTAGCACAGAACTATTGCTCTCAATATTGTGGATTTATTGAATAGTATTATTGAGGCACACATCCACTATATTAAGCAAATATCGAACATATAGCTGCTTTTATTTTATAATTTTTATATGATTTAGTTTCTTTAATACTTTTAAAATTTATCTTTACTTTTTCTTTTTGTATTATTAAACAAATAAAATTAAACTCAAAAGTAAATTAAGTAATGATTTAATGCCTGTTATTAATTATTCATCAAGTATTTAATTTTAATAATACAAGTTTTGTTCATTGTGCGACAAACAGTTGCCGTATTCAATACTTCAGACAAAATCAACTCTATAGCCTTTTCAGGCCCAACGGAATATATATGTCTCAGCCACCCCTAGTTCTATTTTAGTGAAATAAAAAAGCCCTTTTTAATTCTTATTTCATATAGCGGTGTTTCAAGTAGAGTTTTCATGTACTTGATTGACTACACATCTTACCTCAAAAACCTATATTTCCATTATTTCATGTACTTTGCTCCAGAGTTATTGCATTTTAGAAGAAACTGAAGACTATTTATGCTGTATTTAAAGGTAAGCATTTTGCTTTGTTATTTTGATGAATTGATCTGTTGAAATAAACATAATTTTTTTATTGTAACAAAGAAAAATATTAATGTTTAGCTATTATGTACTTAAGAGACACATGTGCCCCAGTGAGCTTTTGAATAGGTTATATATACAACTATCTTTGTATATCCTACTGGTAATCAGGGTGAGCAAAGGGAAACTGAAACAGACTTAACCCGAGTAGGAGGAATGAGCACATCGTTTGCATCGATTTGGATCCTTTAGTAAAAGGAGAGAAATTGTTAAATACGTAGAAAGCTCCAACGTTAATAATAATATGCCCATTGATCTACGAGATAAAATAATTGCCGAATTTTGCAGCATTTTTAATGCTTGTCTTTATCATTCATATTTTCTGGCTATTTAAAAGGAAAATAACATTTTACTCATCTCGAAACCAGGTATGAATGTAAAGCTCAAAGGCAGTTACAGACCGTTAAGTTCTTCTTTGGGTTCATTACGCTCTTCATTGGTAAGCTACTTGAAAGGATAAATTGAAAAATTGAAATAGGCTGAGTAAGCATCTACATAAAGTATCTGATTTCAGCTTGAATTCAGGAAAGGACTTACAGTTAGATTGCAGTTACTTAGAATTATGGAATTCGTAAACTACATGTTACATAATATAAAGTATAGCACTCCTTATGTTGTAGTTGTCCAAAATTTCAGATAGCGCTCGGCATGAGGCTCTCTTTTATAAGCTTATTAAATTAGAAGTAAGGTTGGAGTATCTGGCTGCCATCTTCTTTCTTGAAAAGCAGATTTTTAAAATCAGAGAGTACAGTTGATGGCTCCTCACTCAAGGCTACCAGTTTGGAGTCCTATCGGAAAAAAAACCTTGGATTAATATTGTAACTGTTTTATACTTGTGGTCTTCCCTGCTTCAGTAATGATAGGCATTGTCTTACGGCATGCTCTGTACGATGGACGATACTGTAATTGCGATAAAATCATGATGATCTAACCATGCTATAGGAGAAAATCATGCAAAACAAGAATTGAAGCAAGGAATAGAAAATCTTTATGAATGTGACTAACTATTTGCGGGTCACAATTAACGAAAGCTTTGCGTGGATAGAATAGGCTAACGAAGTCAAAGGCAAGATTTATGGCATCTTATCAAACTGAAGCCAACTGTGGATGAGAATTCAACCAAGTCTTGCCAGAAAACTTTACACTTTCATTTGCCCAATCATTACGATGTGTCCCCAGCTTTGATTTCCATCTCAAGCAGAGAATACAACCATTTCCAGTGCTTCAGAAAAATAAGTTTTCAAGAATATTACGGGAGAATCGTAGTTTACTTCTAACTTCACAGAGATATTTAAGCTAGAACTCGTGAAAAATTACCTTTACAGATCAATAAGCAATTCTTCAGGAAAGTTGGAATTTGTGGTATCGTCAGCTATTAGAAGATCTCGACAGAGTTCCATCGTTCAACTGTTCAAACCTTTCAAATTGCACTTAACAATTTCTTTATTTATACAAAGAACTGATTCTAATTTAGAATAAGTAATACTAATCCTATTCAGATTTAATTAGAGAGCATTTAGAACTTACCGATTTTTTCTTGAATATTGTTGTGTCTTCTTCCTATATTTGAAGAGAGAGATAAATTTTTATGAGACTTCTATGGTTTTCTTTAAGAACAGTTATTTCAACTACAAATAAGTATATATATACAATACATACAGAAAGAAAAATAACAAGAGGCTAAAATTAAAAACAAACTTTTATACCCTTCCTGCGCTATAGCTGCAGGATTGAAGTAAAATAGACTTCAAGATTCTAAAGTTAAGAGTAAATTGGATAGCAAAACTGACTTTTTCCGATACAAAATGTAGTAATATTAGTATGTATATTTATATATTGTGCTTTTCTAATATGTTATGTTCTGCATCTAAGACCTCTCTTCAGATTTGATACATACTGTGTAATATTTTCCTTGTCCACCAGACGCTGAGCGGTTAAGACCACTGAATATGGGAATTTCGACACATTCGAAGAGCTGGTTGCATGGTTGGTTTTCGTGGTTCTCCACGTGTCTAACGTGTATACAAATTATTTCTGTTAGAAAGTCCTCCTTTAAAGATATAGACCTTGCGTGTTTCGCCATATTCGATTAACCGACCCTAATCTCTGTTTGATTTAAAAAAAAATAACGTTTGTTAAGTGGCGAATGTGCGAGTAAATAACACTGAATGATAAGTAAATTTACAAGAACTTTTTTTAGTCTTCAGGTTTAGAAATCCTAAAAGACATTGGACAAAACGAGAAAAAACAACTCGTTTTAATTAACGGAACACGCAAAATGAAAGAGAGGCATGATATGATTGTGCAAAATTTCTCTGAATTTGTTAATTAAAGTAATCTAACATTTCAGAAAATTACTTTAAATCATAAACTTCATTTTATAAGACTGATTACATAGTTTTTTGGTTTCCTAAATTTCTCAGTAAATAAAACTTTACCAGTATTTTTGGATACAGATTCACAGATTAAGGTATTATCTGTTCGCTTCACTGATAATGCAGTTCATACTTATGTATAAGAAATGTACATTAATATGTCTGCTTATAGATTGACTATGTGTTTTAGATGTTAAATAAAAAAGTCTATGTCACATTCTTAATACTGATTTAAGATCTTGATGGAAGATATGTATGGCCTGCTAGAATAAAACAAGAAAGAATTAAGGATAGAATTGCACCAATTATTTCTTATATCCAGGCTTATTTGATTTTGTTTTGGTCCATACAGCTATTAAAAACAAAGATATAAGCTGTATAAATCATTTTAAGCGTTAATAAATGGAAATTCAGCAAATATAAAAAAAATCAAATATGAAAATTTCACGTTTATTCGCAAAAAAATTATAAAAAATATAAATCCCTGTTTTTAGAGTCTTCTATAGTCAAAGAAACTACTGCAATAACATGAAGAAAAAACAAAAACTGAAATTCAACATCGCCGATGTTTCAATCTTCTGTTCCTTGAAACTTTGGCATCTGTTCGTAATTGCCGATGTTGTAGATATCTCTTGACATCCGCGCTACAGCGAGAATACGAAAGCTTCGAATAGCTGCTTTTGCAAAACTTTTGCGACAGAAAGCTGTTGCTTTAAGAATCTGCATAATATCAACATACTAAGTATTTTTACTGACCATTGTACGATTTTGTTTATGAAAATTCTTGGAATTATGGATCAACCTATTTTTTGGAATTGTTTAAAAAATTATATTTTAAAGATCCTTTCCAACAATAAGTTTGGCTTCATAGCTGATGTAGAAGGGCTCGTGCTCACAGATGCTGAAAATAATCTTCAGATCTGCTTACAAGATTTATGCGTAGAGCACAAAATGAAAGTAAGAAAGGTGAGAAGATCCGAACCACAAAAGTATCATTCTTTGTTTCTGATCAACTTCACCCTTCTCGTTTGACACGTCTTATGGACAAAATAACCATCACTTCGACACTCAAGAGAAGAAATGGTAAAGTCCATTAAGCATTTTATTTCAGAGCAAGAGACGTGACGAGCAAACGACGTTCAAACTAGCACTCGTTGCTTGGCGGCGGAGTAGAGGATTTATTTTAAATACAAAGGAAAATTCGGACCATATTAAATAATATTTTAAAATAATATGGCCTTCGTAAGAGCTAGGCTTTACAAGATGCGGAAAGGTATAGACATATCGCAAGCATGTAAGCCACCTCGCACATTCGCGAGTGACTTGGCTTGTATACGTGCGGACTATTTACATTTGCATGCGTTCTAACATGACTTACTCTGAAATTCCGTTTAAAAACGCCTATTACCAGTGATGTTGTAGAGTCTTTTAGATTTATCGAAGCAGGAATCGTGAAAAATGTGCAATGGCTTCGCCGGGATTCGAACTTCGGAACTTCCGATTGATAGCTGAATTTGTTTTGATAACTGAATCACCAAGAAGATACGGGGGGGAAAAAGGTTTAAAATACCTTATACTCACGCTCAACTTAAGGGGCGACTGGAGAGAAAGTGACTCATTCGCCAAATCGCGGTGGTGACGAATTATCGTCCACCAGGTTTTGGCGAATGAGTTAGTTCTGGCGTCACTGTGTCATTAGGCATTTTATTTCGGAGCTGGAGAGATGATGAATGTGCGACGCTCTCGCCGGCACTTGAGCGCCGGACTTTCTGATAACTTAGCCGGCCGTATTTTCCAGTTACAGCATCAAGACACGCGGGGAACAATTAGACAGAATTGAGAAAAGGAAGGCATTTGAGCCAATAGTTTACGACATAGAATATCATTTTCAAAACATTCCTTTAGAAAAGCGATACCCGAATTGTCACCCTCATATTCAATGAGAAATGCATGATAAACGACAGCTTCAAACTTAGAATTCCACCTGTTTATCATAGGGCAGAATAAACTTTACTACCAACTGAAAAATCTTTTCTTTTAGTACTAACTTAGTACACATTTAGTACTTTAATTATTTTCAAGCGGAAAAAAACCGCTTTTATTTCGGCTGTAAAATTCTGAATAAAACTGTATTTTATTCTTTAGATTCTTTTATAAATACGTCACCATCAAGATTCACTTTATGCGCCCAGCATTAAACGAGCAAAATATAGCCACCAGTGATGTAGTTTCAGTAAGTTGAATTAGTTACGTAGTGCGCACAGTCTGCTACTACAGTAGATCTTTTACTTGAGTATTCTATTTCATATTATTTCAACAAATTAGGCGTTTCATATTCCTTCAACTAGTCAACTATTGCTGGAGCCTCCTTGATCGGTATAGTGGTTAGCGATGTTGACTGCCGTATTGTTGGATTCTGGGTTTCAGTCGTGGAGAAGGCTTGGATGTTTGTAAGTGTGTAATGTCTTTGCAACATGAAGGCACTTAAAATACACGGCGAACCGAAAGTCCTTTCAAGAGTTTCGGCGACGAAAGAGAGGTGAATCTGGGATAAGTTACCTGTGGGATTCGTTTTCGAAACTGGAACGAAGCTCAGAAAATTTGTGCTGTCATTTACAATGTGCTCAAGGCCAATGCCGACTATAGAGGCAACCCTGGGTTCCTGACCATGATAAAATTCATTGTTTGATTGGGTATATTTGATTACGCGAAAGCATTAGAGAGTTATCTGCCTGAGGGAAGGGATACCTCCGTGGAGGACGTTTTAAGGGAAACTGGCTCGTGTACACGTTACACAAGGGAAAACCACTAAAACGGAAGGAAAATAATCTGGAGCAGGTCCGTATCTGAATTATCACACACAGCTAGGTGATCTAGTTAATGCAGCAGAATATTGGTTTTTAAATGCATTTTCCCCGTATCCTCAACAAATTCTTCTCTTTTTCATTTCGGCGTGTTCTTGCACTTGAAAACTATTGACAAATGTAGTATGCTGCTGAATCCCGTATGGCACTGGGATGGCTACATTTTTCTTCTTTAAATGACTAGCACTACCCGTATGTCTGGTTGCAGTATCCTTTTTGTAACCTTCTAAACGAAAATTACAGTAATTATGCATAAGAATATATGAATCACTTAAGAAACATCATCCTGTGACTTACGTGCACGGAAGAATAAAGCCTATTATGCATCAGATTATCAGGTTCAATGTTCCGTCTTACTTTCTTCGGGAACATGCAAGGACCTGACTCGGAACAGAGAGCTTAGTAAAGCTATGTTCAATCACTGTGGGAAGTAGACAGGATACACAAGAAGGGTATACAAAACCCTTTATTTTTCTCTATTTTTACAATAACTTCCGTACTTCTTCGGAATACACAGACCCGCTACTTGTGGTCTAACGTAAAAATATAAAAAATAAAACTAAACTCTAATTTAACTTTAACTTTAAAATAATAAACGTGGAAGATTGGCCTTATATTAATATATTAAAGGAAGCCGTATGTAGTACAGAGAACTGTGAACACTACAATACGTTTAAAAATTATCAAGAGGATTAAAACCTCTGGCCTGGAAGGCAACCAGCAACTGAGTAAAACTTCTAAGGTAAGCGGCCTGCTTCGACTCACTGCTTCCTCTCTCTCGCTTGGCAAAAAGCCACAACTTAAATACTTGGCGTTCGCCAGACAAACTTTGCATAATTACGTTAACGCTTATAATTCTGGCCGGAAGAAAAGAAAAAATAAGAAGTGATAGTAAAGATTTAAAATAAAAAATAAACGTTAGTAAAACTTAAGATCCTTACATACTTCCCGCCAGAGTTAATTAGTTTGAAACTGAGGTCTAAAACGACCTTGTTGAAAACTTTTAGCTCTAGAATCTAACGCGAGGCCAATCTTTTACAAACATTTTCGCTAGAAACTAGAAATTTTAAAAGAAAAAGAAATTTGTTTTTACAATAGCAGCTCCCAGGACACAATTTTTTTTATCTGTACTGCATCTAAACAGGAGCTTTTATTCAAATCTGGTTCCTTCCAGAGATCTGGAAGGAAAACTAGTTTAATGAAATGTTACACAATGAAATGGCAAGTAACAGTAACATGTATAATTATATTTCTCTTAACATTCTTATTTCATTCATGACTATTTTAATTATCTCTCCCCGTGCTCTCTGACTGACATGTG